GGGGGGTGTGGGAAGAGACTGGACAAAAATCGTACACCTATGGATGAGGACAGTGGGGGGGGTAAGGGCAGAGAGTGGGGTGGGAACTGGGTGGAGAGGAGCTATGGGGGAAAAAAGAGGAACAACTGTAATAATCTGAACAATAAAGATTTACTTTTAAAAAAAAAGGTAAAATTGAAGAATAGTCAAATACACTTAAGAACACAAATAATCACCTGGCCGGTGTGGCTCAGTGGTTGAGTGTCAACCTATGAACCAGTATGCCAGGGTTCAATTCCCAGTCAGGGCACATGGTTGTGGACTCAATCCCCCAGTGGGAAGTGAGTGGGAGGCGGCCGATCAATGATTTTCTCTCATCATTGATGTTTCTATCTCTCCCTTCCTCTCTGAAGTCAATAAAAATATATATTAAAAAAAAGAGCACAAAAAAGTCAAACCCACCGTATATATTATTTAATATATATGAATAAACTGAAATTTTGGAATCTGTGTTTTGCCTAATGGGTTGGCAAAACAGAGCTAGATCACTTCCAGAAAAACAATAAAATTTTTGAGCCAATAAAATTGAGGGATAGAACCAAGACTGTGATGACTTAGCCAAGGCACTATTTCTACAAGACTATATAGATCTAAGTAACCAGCTGGCCTCTCCATACCCACCCTAACCACATATCCTCTAACTAAATAAGCACTAAATAGTTACTGAATAAAATGTTTCATTAAAGCACAGAAACAATTTAAAATGCTTACCTCTAAGTCATTGAAAAATAGGTGTGTATCAGCCACTTCAAAAATCATTTCTTCCATAGTTAAACCTGAGCCAATCACTACTGTTGGGTCCTGGAATACAATAAGAGAAAAATTGCTTGACTTGATACTCACAGATCTGGTTCTGATCTTTAAATATTTAAAAATTATTTGGGTCAAGGCCAGAACAACACAGACCCATAATAGTGCTTCCAACTATTACTGATGCAATTTCATTCAGTTTTAAGAATCTGGAATTGTGAAAAGTTAAAAATTTCAAGACTTTAGTTTCTAGAAGACCAAACCCACTTAAAAACAACAATAACAAAAACAACCGTGTCGTCCCGTGCACCGTACGGTTGATGGTTTGATTCCTGGTCAGGGCATATGCCCAGTTGGCAAACTCAATGCCCTGTAGGGACGTGCAGGAGGTAGCCAATCTATGTGTTGCTCTCACATCAATGTTTCCCTCTCCCTCTCCTTTCATCTCTCTCTGAAACTCAATAAAAATATTAAAAAAACACACAACACTTGAATTTTTTGGGGGGTAAAATTCTGTTTCAGGAGAAACTCAAACTATTGCTAAAATATTAATATTGTAACACCCATTATCTTCCCTACACACACACACAGAGTATAATACCAGAAATCAGCTATCTGACAATCTCAACAACCAGGAAATAAGTAAACAAAGGCTGAAGAGTCATAATATTTGCAGGAAAAGCAATGCACTTAGCTTACCCTCATCTTCAACCCCCAATGCACTTAGTTTTAAAATGAACAACCAGGTCTTCATTTAGAGGCTGTATGCTCTTATTTAATTTATTTAATTATGTTATAAACAGCCTAGTTATGGTATTTAGCATAGGAGCTTGCCAGTCTATATACTAAAAGTCTGTGGAAATTACTCCTAACACAAACATTTGTGACAATAAGGAATATATGGGAATAGTAAGAGAGCAAAAGAGGCAGATATTTTTATAAAATCTATTTAAAATACAGAAAAATAGGTGCCTGAAGGTAGTTTAGTGTAGAAATATATAGGCAATAGCTCAAAAACAGCTCATCCCTCTATTAAAACTGATGTTTAGATTAATGACAAAACAAGTTAAATTCTGCTTGGTATATTTAATTTAAGAAGGTATGTAATCTCTTTTAGAAAGATACTTTATATTTTATCTGTAATTTGAACTAGGTAAATGAAATGTACAGTTTAGGTTGTTAAAAGAAACTTAAGGGATAATAGATTGGTTTTTGGAATATATAATCCCGAGACTCCACTCTGTTTTGAGCATCATTCCCATACTTCATTTATACATAATACACTCTCAAAGAACTTCAGCTTTCACCACTTACCTCAGGTCTAGTCTCTAGCTTTATCATCAACTCTGCCTGACCATGCAGCCTGCCTGGTAAAAGCTACTTGGTGAAATTTAACATGGAAAGGCCCAGGGTAAGGTGGAGGTAGCAGAGAAAGTGATTTTGGTTACCTGCTCTTATAGCAGAAAAGGGATGGTTACAACAAAGGAAGAAAGACTCAAATTACCTTTCCATACTTCTGGGCATAGGATCCAGTAAGAAGGGAGTGAAAGATGATGATAGTTTCATCCAAGTCCCACAGAAATACCCGCTGAGGGAGGAAAATATGAAAAATAATGAGTGAACATCTTTTCTAATCACAATGGGATAAAGCAAGAAATTAATGGAAAACTGAAAAATTCACAAATACGTGAAAATTAAACAACACAATTTTAAATAATCAAGGATGGAAGAAGAAATCACAAGTGAAATTAGAAAATACCTTGAAATGAATGAAAATAAAAACGCAACAACAAAAAAATTTGTAGTATGCAGCAAAAGCAGTGCTAAAAAGGAGATTTACAGCTGTAAATGCATAACTTAAAAAAGATCTCAATGAATAACCTAACTGTACAATTTAAAAAACTAGAAAAAGCCAGCAGAAGGAAGGAAATAATAAAAGTTAGAATGGAGATAAATAAAGCATAGAATAGAAAAATAATCAAGGAAAATCAACAAAACTAAAAGCCAGTTCTTTAAAAAGATCTATAAGCCCTAGCTAGTTTGGCTCAGTGGATAGAGCATCAGCCTGCAGACTGAAGAGTCCCAGGTTCAATTCCAGTCAAGGGCACATGCCCCTTAGTGGGGGGCATGCAGGAGGCAGCCAATCAATGATTCTCTCTCATCATTGATGTTTCTCTCTCTCCCTCCCTCTCCCTTCCTCTCTGAAATCAATCAAAATATATTGTAAAAAATAAAAATCTATAAAATTGACAACTTTTTAGACTAAGAAAAAGAAAACTCAAATGACTAAAATCAGAAATGAACATTATTACTAATTTTAGACTTTAGAAATAAAAAGGATTATAAGAGAACACTATGGACAGCTGTACACCAACAAATAACCTAGGTGAAATGAACAAATTTCTAAAAAAACACAAAGTGCCAAATGACTCAAGAAGAAATAGAAATTCTGAATAGACCTTTAACTGGTAAGATGATTGGATCAGTAATCAAAAACATCCCAAGGAAGAAAAGCCTAGGACAAGATGGCTATTCTGGTAAATCCTACCAAACATTTAAAGAAGTCGTCTTAAGCTATTCCAAAAAGTTGAAGAAGAGGGAACATTTCTTTTTTTTTAATTTTTTAATTATATTTTTATTGATTTTTTTACAGAGAGGAAGGGAGAGGGATAGAGAGTTAGAAACATCGATGAGAGAGAAACATCGATCAGCTGCTTCCTGCACACTCCCCACTGGGGATGTGCCCACAACCAAGGTACATGCCCTTGACTGGAATCGAACCTAGGACCTTTCAGTCTGCAGGCCGACACTGTATCCACTGAGCCAAAACAGTTAGGGCAAGGGAACATTTCTTAACTCACTCTATGAAGCCAGCATTACCCTGATACCATCAAAAGAGTAAAAAGACAATCCACAGAATGGGAGAAAATATTTGTATATCATATATCTGACAAAGGATTAATATCTAGAATATATAAAAAATTTCTAAAACTCAATAAAAACAAATTTAAAACTCAGTTTAAAAATGGGTAAGTACCCTGGCTGGGTGGCTCAGTTGGTTGGAGTGTCATCAAATACAGAAAAAAGGTTGTGGATTTGATTCCTAGTCAGGGTACCTATGGGAGACAACTAATCGAGGATTTTCATTTTCTCTCTCTTCTCTCTCTCTCTCTCTCTCCTCCCCCCGCCTCTCTAAAATCAATGAACAGCCTGGCTGGTGTGGCTCTGTGGTTGATCATCGACCTATGAATCAGGAGATCAGGATTCAATTCCTGGTCAGGGCACATGCCTGGGTTGCAGGCTCGATCCCTTGTATGGGATGTCCAGAAGGCAGCTGATCAATGATTCTCTCTCATCACTGATGTTTTTATCTCTCTCTCTTCCTCTCTGAAATTAATAAATATATATGAAAAATAAATAAAATCAATGAACATATCCTCAGGAATAAGAAAAAAAGGGCAAGGAATTTGAATAGACATTTCTCTAAAGAAAATAAACAAATGGCTAATAAACACATGAAAAGATGTTCAACATTATTTGTCATTAAGGAAATGCAAACCAAAACCACGAGATACCACTTCACATCTATTAGGATGCCTATTATCAAAAATATGGGTGAGGATGTAGAGAAACTGAATCCTCATGCATGCTGATGGGAATGTTAGATGGTATAGCCACTATTGAAAACATTTTGGTGGTTCCTCAAAAAGTTGAACATAGAATTACCATATCATCCAGCAATTCTACTCCTAGGTTTACCCAAAATCACTGAAAAGAGGTACTCAGAGATACTGGTATAGCATTGTTCATAGCAGCACTATTTAGCAGCTCAAAGGTGAAAGAACCCCAGGTGTCCATCAACAGGATGAATAAACAAAATGCGGTATATACATAATACTACAATGAAATAGTATTCAGCCATAAAAAGGAACAAAGTTCTTATGCTTGCTACAAAATGAATGGACCGTGAAAAAAAGTCTGTCATAAAAGGATAGATATTGTATTATGCTATTTTTTATGAGATATCTAAAACAGGCAAATTCTAAAAGACAGGAAGTAGAACAGAGGTTAATAGGGGCTAGTGGAGAGAGAAAAGGGAGTTACTGCTTAATGAGTACAAAGTTTTTGTGTAGTAGGATCGTGGAAATAAATAGTGGCAACAATTAAATAAGTTTGTGAAAACATTTAATACCACTGAATCACACTTAGAAATAGTAAATACTATGTTAAGTATATTTTACCACAATTTTCAAAAATGAGCTCTCTCTCTCTGTTTTTCCCAAGAACCATATTAGGACTTTAGATTTTCTTTCTTTCTCTTTCCTTTTCTTTCCTTTCCCTTTCCCTTTCCCTTTCCCTTTCCCCTTTCCTTTTCCTTCCTTCCTTCCTTCCTTCCTTCCTTCCTTCCTTCCTTCCTTCCTTC